TACCAAACCAGCACTACAAGCAATTTTAAACAATATCCTAGAAAAAGACAATGAAGGTAACAACACCATGAGGCCCAACAGAGCAAATCTCACAGGCAAGGCAAGAAAATAAAAGGAGAAGGTGAAAAAGTAAAAAGAGTCAACAAAAGGCCATAACAGGACAATAATAAGTCAGTACATATCAGTTATAACCAGCAATGTCAATGGCCTCAACTCACCAATCAAGAGAAATAGACTGGCAAAATGGAATAAGAAGCAAAATCCAACAATATATTGTATACAAGAAACACACCTAGTGCAAAAAGAAGCCCATAGACTGAAAGTGAAAGGATGGAAAACAATTCTCCATGTGACAGGAGCCCAGAAAAAAGGCAGGGGTAGCAATCTTATTTGCAGACAAAGTAAATTTCAAACCAAAACTGATTCTAGTATTATAGATATAGGACAGTACTGTATTATACCTCTGTGAATGTAAAATATCTTGTACCTGCTTTATGATATGTAGTAGTGACCGTGCTTTATCAGAGCTATTTTTAATGATGTTACTCTAGAATGTTCTCTCTCCAGATGATGATGATTAAGATGCTAATAAAAAAAAATGGTGCCAGGTACTACAACAGCAACAGAACTTTGCTGTTTTCTGGGTATTATTCTTCTGGTTTTTTGTTTTTGTTTTTTTAATGGAGTGTGCTGAATATCAATAATTTTGTTCTGATGACTGCTGAACCTGGAAAAGCTGTTGCTGCTGTTGATGCATAACATACTGCTATTATTGGTCTTTTTATATAAATATAAATTATATATATACACACACACACTCACACACATATAATTTGAATTTTTGGAAACTTTAACTGTGCTGTCGACTTTGGAAAAAGTTATCCCAATTTACTGTGTTGAGTTGGCATTGTACAGAAATTAACAGCCATATTGGTCTAGAAATGTTAATTTTTTTTCCATTTCTACAAGGGTAATGCACTGTATTAAATATGTAAGGTCATATCTACATGGGTTTGATTACAGAAACTAATAAAGTATTCTCTGAATAATGAAAAAAAGAATAATATAAGACTACAAGGCAAGAAGCAACTTAAATATGTTCAAGGATCATTTTCATCTTCAGAATTAAGGATTATTTTAATTTTACAACATTGCCTTTTCTTTTTACTTTCCTTTTTAGTTTTATTTTAGGATTCCCTATTTTTAATGTTCATATAGAGATTTCTTTAACTGAAATACCGAATAGTTTCTCTGGTGTGAAGAACTATAATAGTACACAAGATCCTAATGAGATAATTAATAATGTGAAATAGGAAGTAAAGGGCTAAAGGTGTAGAAAAAGTGGGAAGGGTGGAGGAAAGGTAATAAGGGAGAGGAAAAAAATATGAGAAAATGAAAAAATGGAAATAAAGTGTTTGTAAATGGGGAAGGGAGGGCAGGGACAAGAGGAAAAAATGAGAATCAAGACCTGTCATGTAAAGGTACAGGATCCCAATAATGAATGTAACTGTATTGTATACCTAGATTGTACCAGTAAACTCAAAAATTTTTAAAAATTTGTTTTCATTGAAAAATTATTTCATAATTTGAGTTCATGTTTGATCTAGTTAGCCACATCTAGCTGATGGATTTGCCAAATGCTTGGTGACCATTAAAGTGGTGTAAGATGGCTCTAGCTAGTTCAGAAAGAGATTTAATAAAAGATTTTAAGCAGTGTATAGAATTGTTGAAAAGAACAAAACAAACAAGGATAACAGACTATAGATGGGAAGTCTTAGGAATGACATTCAAAAGCCGCATTGTAGCTAGGCTGTCAAGAAAATGACTACCTCCTTTAAGATCAGAAAAGCTCCTGTAGAATTGAGAAGCCATAGCTTTCCGATGCTTTTGTTTTGGAACCTTGCCTCCTCACTGTGATTAAGAATATACTAGTATAGGGAGGCAACTACTTCATCAGTAAGCTGTTGTCACTGCTGCTAGCTCTAGTGCTAGCTTAAACTTGCCACAACCTGTATTTCAGAATGGATACCTTGTATCTTCCTTAATACACTTAAGACATGTGACTGAATCCCAGGACTTCTGCAAATGCTCCTATAGAACGTGGACATCTCCATTACAGTGCTTGCTAGAAGAAGCAGCCTAAACTCAACCTCCTTTCTCTTCTGCCCCCATTTTTCTAGTGAGTAAAGCTGATTGGTGAAGCTTCAGTCACGTCCACAACTCTAGCTGCAACAGAGTCTGGGGAATGTAGTTTCTCAACTATCTAGTCTCTGCAGTATAGGAAGGCATGTACTAAAGGAGGTGGAAATGGATATTGAACACTAATCCACTGTATCTTCTACAGATGCAAAACCTGATTCTCATTAAGGTTAGCCATACTAAGTGGGATGTAGATAAATTGAGGAAAATTGCAAATAATACCACTGCACAATATTAAGAAACTGCTGCTTTTGGGTATATTTTTATTTTTTGTAATACATTTTTCAGAATACTGAAAATTGGTCCTCTACCTCTATTATGAATTCAGTGCTCTATACTAAAAATGTCCTCACATTTGAGATGTGCTCGTTGGATAAAAAACCTGAAAGAAGGAGTAAAAGAGAGACTGTTAGAATGGGTTACCTAAACTGAGTAAAGGTCAATGTTATCAAATATCTGAAGAGTAGTCAAAGAAAGTGGGAACTGAAAAACAGTCTTTGGTTCTACTTAATATTATTAGTATTCTTGTGTTTCAATGATTTTCTGAAGTTATACAGATGCTTAGTAGAAGAGGTAAAACAGGAACATTGGTTTCATGATTCTTAGGGTAAGGCCCTTTGCCTTAGGCATCTACTTTGGTTTCTTTGACAACTACACTGGTGTTTGTTTGACCTTTTGGTCCATGAGTGTCACATAATAACTCTAAAACTAGACTCATTGAATTCTTTAATACTCTATTATATACTTTTGAAGTGTTGTGTGTCATTACTGTTTTAGATTTCAAAGATTAACAGGTTCTCGGGCCTCAAAAATAGAGAAAATAAACTCTTAAGTAAAAATTAACAGAGGTTTATATAGTTATTAATGCTGTCGAGGAGACAAAACAAAGGGTTAGAATATGGCATCAGGATTATCTACTTCAGTGAGATTATTCTTTTTTTTTTTTTTTTTTTTTTTTTTTTTTT